CTTAGTATATATAGTATTACTTTAATTATTTATATTCACCATTTTTGTTTTTGTTTGTTTTTCATTACTTTCTTATAAAACTTTCTATAAAGACGCTTAAAATTACTTATTGTTTAGTGAAGGTCTTGTGAACGCAAACGAGTTTGTAGTTATAAATTTTGTCAATCTCTTTCTTAAACGTGAATTCAATTTGAATAAAATATAAATAAAAACAATATAAGAAGACGAAAGCATTTATTTCATGCCAAAAATCTGAATAAACAATTAATGTAAACACGGCATTTGGAGACTACTGTGTAATAAATAAAAGAAGGTAGGTATATGATAGGTACTTCACTGAACTTTCTACAAAATTCATTTTAGTAATTTAAATGTTTCCTTGAAGTTAAAGTGTGGTTTCGTTTGAAAGATAATAGCCTAAAGTTATTCCTTAAAAAGAGAAAAATTAATTTACGTCCTTAAATAAAGATTTTAAACATTTTTAAACAAAAAAAAGTAAAAACAAACTCAATTCCGCCCAGTTCGATGAGCGAATTTGATGGACGTCGACAAAAGAAAAATTAAAATAATTTAACAATATCTAAAAAATCTGATATTTGTTCCAAACATTTGTTTAAAAAGAAAATATTAACTTTAAGCATGAATTAATTAGATTTTTGTAAAATTATCACTTGCTATTTGTAAAAACAAACAAAAAAAAAACAAAAAAACAGCAGAATATGTTTTCACTTGTCAACACGTTCAGTAGTAATCTATAGGATATAAAGTGAAGCACAAACAAGTAGGAGACACCTTCAAATAAATCTCACTAAATTCAGTAAATATGAAAAATCTTTTACAATACTGTAGAAACACGGCTCCAAAATTAATTAAATGGTTTCTGGAACCTGATTGGATATGACAAGTCTACGACGTCCGCGCGGTACAACTTCAAATAACCTGGAAAAGACCGAGTACAACATGACGGTGCAAAACGCAGATAGAATTTGTGAGCCGATCACCGGCTTGCCATAAGCCATAAAAACAGATTGTCAGCGACAGTCAGGGCAGATCTGCGAAAGGAACGTTACTATGACAACGCGTCAGTCAGCGATGGTTTTTCTACATACAAAGCCGCAACGAAAGTAAGTTCTAAATCCCACTCTTTTTGTTCATTTATGTTATTAAATTACTGCTATCGCACGCAATCAGTCAGCAGTCATACACATGTTTCGTTGGCGTGTTCCCCATCCCCACAGACACACATATTGACGTACATATCATTTCGAATTTTGCAAGCACACTTGCAAAAAAATAACTTCGAAATTTGCAGACACATTTGCAACAAAATAACTTCGAACATTGCAAACTCACTTGCAACAAAATAACTTCGAACTTTGCAGACACATTTGCAACAAAATAACTTCGAACTTTGCAGACTCACTTGCAACAAAATAACTTCAAACTTTGCAGACTCACTTGCAACAAAATAACTTCGAACTTTGCAGACACATTTGCAACAAAATAACTTCGAACTTTGCAGACTTACTTGCACCAATTCACTTTGAACACTCAAACTATTGGTCTCTTCATAGCCACAACAAAGACAATTGTATTCTAATATGTAAATACATATATATACTCTATAAATGTTATTGTCATAACTTGGCCTTCTTTCTTTTCTACGAAGGTCATTTCTTTGCGTTGTTTATAATTGTATATTCTAACTTGTGGACATGACACTTGGATTTTCTTTTTCCGAAAAAATTCCGGGTAGACTGCCCACACAAATCGTACTGTAGAACCCAAATTCTACATTATTCCAATACCCAAAATGATTGGATCAAATCTGTGCAAAAAGTGGATCACAGAACACTTTCAACTTCATACACTTTCAAAAAATCTCGAGCACTCATTAGCTAATAAATATACAAGTAGGCGTGACTATCCACCCACGCTTAACTAATTTTTACAGCTCGTGACTAAAATCCAAGTTCGCGCCAAGTTGTTGGAATTTAATTTGAGAACAATATTGTACAAGTTCACATTCTCGCTATTTTTTCTATCATCACTCCAACCTCTTTTTACTTTCAAAACCGGCTCCCAAAGCCTTGATTCTTATCAGAGATAAGAATATATTTTCTGACTAACGAGAGAGCCGGAAAATATAAAATGGAATTCCACTACCATTATTCTTTCCATGGTGCCATAAAGTCTGGGGGAAACCTCATAGCTTGTTCACTCCAACCTGTTTCCATTACTTTCAAACCCGGCTCCCACATCCCTGATTCTTATCAAAGATAAGAATATATTTTCTGACCAATGAAGGGGCCAGGAAATTTGTTCAACAATTTGGAGGGAAAAGTCCCCAATTCTTCTGACCCTTTCCAAATCTCCGTAAATTTGGAGAATCTTTGCCTATTTGGCAGTGAGACTTCAACCCGCTGTCTGTGAGGTCGACGATAGGAAGCACCAATCAACTTCAGAACCACTTTCAACTAAAGAAGAACTACCTACTAAAGGGCTATCGAGAACGAACGTCGGCCTACAATTCAAGATCAATTTAAAGCTGCATCCATTCACCACTCCTTCTGACGAGCCCACCGGACTTCTGTCGTCAACCTATGAACTCACTCAACTGCAAGATTCTTATATCTAACAACAATTTTCCTACTCTGCAAGAACTGTGAGTGTTTCTAAACCTTAACAAAATTCTACCCGTTTAAAGAACTTTTTAGGCACTTAGAGAAATATTTTGAGCAAGCCTTTTTTCTGTTATGAATACTTTCTCTTCCCTTAAAGGATATTTTCTCTTTTCCCTTTCTTTCACTCCTAATTGTCTTTATCCCTTTAACTTTCTTTTCTGCATATGTAAATAAACACTTTCTTCTTTCATTGTTACACACCGAGAAGGAGTTTTTTTCTTTATTTGCACGCGCCTAAAAGAGAGAGTTTGTTCGCTCTGATCTTGCTGTTTTTTACACGCGTTTTATCGCAATTTTTTAACCTCAACCCTTGGATACGGGAAAGCTGTGACAAACTTTCCCCGCAAAGTCTCTGTGAGCCACCCGAAGCAAATAAAAACAGAAACTCATTCACACTCGCCAGTGAGAATTGCGACATCAATCGAATTGCAACTAAACTTCACGTCACACAATTTTAAGTTTTTTCGTTCATACGAACATTATACAACTTAACAATATTGATACTCACTCATCAAAACTTATCAGTGAACTTTATTCTTATTCACTCACCAAATTCCTTTATGCAGAAGTTAAACAAATTCCTGCTAACAAATCAACTTATTTCAACTTATATTCGAGAATATTGTACAGTGATCCCTCGTTTATCGCGAGATTGGTTCCAAGACTGGCTGCGATAACTGAATTTCTGCGAAGTAGGGACGTCATATTTACAGTATTTATTTAACGTGTATTTGGACTTTTGCAACCCTCCCTGTACTGTTAACAACCCACCCATTACAGTACTCTATTAATAACAAGGACAACAAAAAAAAAAAAAAAAAAAAGAAAAAAGATTGTTACTGTATTCAACACGAAAGAAGTTGAAGTAGAATTTGAATGATGATGGTGATGAATTTGCTGCGCAGTAGAAATGATGATGATGAAGCTGATGATGACTTCTACTGTGCAGCCGATCGGATAATTGTATTTTACGTCTCTTCGGACGGCGGTGCCCTTTCTATTGCTATTGTACGCTTGTTTTGTTCTTCCTAGACCAGGAAATAATATTTATTATTAATATTTTAATGGGTTTAATGAAAGATTTTAGGTGTTCATATATCGCGATTTTTCTAGAATTTTCCAGAAATTCCGCGATATATTTTCCATATATATTTTAAAAATCCGCGAAGTCGTGAACGCGTTAGTTAGAACCGCGAATTAGCGAGGGATCACTGTATTACACAAAATAATCAAAGGTAGATAACTTCTTTGATCACAAATTGCATTCAATTTTACAAACATTTACTATTAAATTTTTTCTCTTGCAATTAATTTACGGAATCTTTAATAACTGATTTGAACAAGCGACCTTTCGAATTAGAACTCATTAACAAAATTTAATCTTTCACCAAACTTGAGTTCAACATAAATTAAACTAACAAGATTTCATCTAAAAAAAATCGACTATATTTTAAAAATATTTTCATTACAAAAAAATACATTGAAATTTACTTGTTATTCAAATATTTTTCTTTTGTCTTCAATCACAAATGTTTCTTATTGTTTCCTCTTCTTGTTTTTTGCCTTTTGCTTTTAACATATTCGTAAAGTATGGATTGATTTGGACCGTCAACACCATTAAAAAAAATGGTAACCACCAAACTTTCCATTACATTACAAACTCGCTATTACTTTTTAAATAAACCCTATTTTCGATGTGTTCATACTCGATATAATTTTTTTTTTTTAAAGATACCTTGGAAACTTAGATTTTTATAAAATTAAAAATCAGGAACATCCGAAATTCACGAATAGAGAGATATTATTAACCACGAAAAAAAAAGTGATTTGTGTGGTAACTGACCCGAAAAAAAAACACTTCCGTAAAACTTTATTTATTTTTTAAAGATTCCATTCATTAATGCATAAATGATGAAAATTCCGATGAAATCTGATTATTCCTTGATTTTTGGTAAAATTTAAAAAACAGGAGTTATCCCTTTTTCTTTTTTTCATATGTTAAAAAAAAGTGTGCATGTTTGGCGATAAATGAAGAAAAAATGAAAAAAACAAAGCAAAAAAATTTTGTATTTATTTGACCTTAGTAAATGAAAGGACAAGTAGCGGTCAAATTTCAGACGCGTAAATCTTTTCTTTGTTTATATTTACTTTTCTTTTTTGCAGTACATTTCTCTCGGTTAAAAAAAAGAATAATCAAAAGTAGCTTCGTTTGTATCTGGGTCGAGGGGAGAAAATTCAAAGTGCTTGTCTAACAAGAATTGAATTTGCGCATGCGCATTGTATTCCTTTCGTAAGAACTCCACGCAATTCACAAGGATGGCGCTTGTAAATTCTTTTCTCCGAAGAGGGATTTATTGTTTAAGTCAGCGATGCCAACAGAGATTATACTCCCAATCAACTACTGTCCGTATCCTTTAACAGACATTTCAATTTCATCTTGAGTTTATTTTTTCTTTAATGTTTAATACGTTTTTTAAGTTTCCGTTGCAGTAGTGTTTTTGTTTTAAAATAGGAAACTATCATTTTGTTTATTATTTCGTTATAAAAATACCTGCTTATTTTTTTCCTTATTGTCTTTTATTTTGCATATTTGTATTAATTTAAAATTCTAAGTGAGTGTCTGTCTGCTTACCTAAGAAGAAGAATGTCTACTAGTCTCAAAAGTCTTTCTTTAACGTAGGTTTAAAAGGAGGGAATGTTATTTTCACTTTTGTCTTCATCATAAAAATATTGGTCTGGTGCTTTAAAAATTAACCGATGCTAGAAATAACAATCCTTGAAAAAAATTGAAATAGTTTGGTTGTCGCGAAATCATTTCTTTTCAAAAATGAAAAAAAAAAAGAATTTTTCAAACTTTGGCTAAAAAAATTATAAAATAAACGAAGGTGAATTCATGTGGACAATAATTCCTAAAAACTCTTGTGTTCTTTGTTTTGCTTATTCTGCGAGGAATCAAAACCGAAATTGGTTAACTTCAAGGCCAACTGTCATGATACTCGACTTGTAGATCATTGTTTATGAGTTCGATCCTCTCTAGGTACCTCACTTGTGGCTTAAAAATAAAATTAATAAACAACTTCTTTACTTTTTAACTCCAACAAAGGATGAAAGCTAACTGGTTAAAAGAAAGGATAATAAAAAAAAGAAAAGGCCAAGGGCTACATTTATCTCTAGGCTTTTTATTGTCCCTTTTAATTGCGTAAAAAGATTTTTTTTAAATTTTTGTAAATGTTTACACTCATTAAAAAAAATCTTTCAAGATTTTCGGGATCTAAAAACTCATTTAAAGACAAAATCAATCTGTACTATACAAAAACGTTTTTTAGCAGGTTAGAGGAATGTTAAAAACTTCATGATAGGTCAATCAACAGCTCCTTCAGGTTTCCGCTACTTACTTAATGAATGTCAACAAGTGCCGATCGCGATAAGTTTTATCAATTTTTCAAAAATGGTATTTTCATGAAATTCAGACTTTAACAACCAGTAGTTAAAATAGTATTTTCTTGCCTCAAAATCACGAAAAATGCAACTTTATTTTCGATGCAATTCAGTTTATTAGGCAACAGTTACGTAATAATGTCAATTCAATAGCATAGCCTTCTAGTTTTCTTTTATTTTAATCAATAATTTTGATAGTATTTTTTTTTTAAAAAAAAAGAAGTGAAAAACGTTACAGAAATTAAATTTCAAAATATTGAAAAATTAGTCGTATTTTTATTTGTATCTTTGTATTAATTAAAAACATCATTTTCAAATCCTTTAACAAATATAACTCTTTTTTTTTCTAAGAGAACCTCATTACCAAATGAGTCATTCTGTTTTCGTTATGGAAAGATAATCCAGAGATAGTTAAGTGTTTGCTTTTAACAATTGACATTTTATATAACCTAGTCTACTATTTTATACAAAATTCTTAATGAGAATCCTGACCCTGGTTGTTTCATAATATTTCCTCCCTATCATAACTACTGAATGGGTAGTTAAGATTGTTATAGATAGGAGAGTAGTTTACACAAATACTCTTTTTTTTATCCATTCACTTCTTCATCAGCTATTCTAATATGTCAGTGGCAAGATATTGTCATAGTCTCTGATTGTACAGGAAGAGTTTGATGTCAAAGGGAGAGGAACTAATTCAAAATGGATATAAACTATTTCAGCTGGAGTTTGAATAACCAGATTTGCTGCATCTATTTTCTATGCCAGTAGCTGTTATACTCCTCCACATATGGTGTTGCTAAGAGTTTAAAAGTATATTCTGCCCTTAATGCTGTAATTGTGTTTTGTATTTTTGATTACTTTGGTTGCCAGTTTGAGACCCACACAGCATTCCAAATACAGGACAAAGAAGAGCACTCTTTGTGAAGGCTGCTGGAATGTTAGTGGCGTTTTGCTTTGTAATACATACATGTTCACTGTGTGACCTCTCATTAGTTGTAATGGCCTTTTATTCACTTGTGCCTCCACTTGTCACAATCAGAAACCACTTTCTCAAAGGAATGTCAAAGAATTTAGGTTTTACATAAGTTCATCCTTGTACCTCTATAAAGGTCTTCTTACTTCCTGCAAACCATCATACAGTTGGCTGTAAATGTGGATGCTGAAGGTAACACCAATCAACTAAGTGACATACTTTACATTTGTATTATATATACACACACACATTTATATATAAATAAAGAATTAATGTATTTATTTTTTATCTGAAAGTTTTATTACTCCAAACATTATTTCTATTTGAAATAGATGCCATATGTAACAAATTGTCTAATAAATAAAATGGGGTGTCTATTTCAAATACGAAGTGTCCACTATAATAACATATGAAGATATATATATATATATATATATATATATATATATAAAAGGCAGGATGTGTGTGTGTAACAAATGCATGGCTGCAATTTTCGACAGATTTGCACCAAAATTTACATGCACATGCCCCAAGTTAGCGGGAAGGCCAAGACCGACTTTGCATTTCCCAACTCCCATCGATAGTGGAAATAATCGATTTTTTCATGCTTCTATAGAAGTTTTCATGTAATTTGTGACCATTTTGTTCTGGCCAGAGTGAGAGCCAATAGCTGGCTGCCACAAATAGGCAGGAAGATTCTATTGGGCAGCGTGAGAGCCAACAGCTGACTGACACGAATGTTAACTAGCATGCAAAAACAATCGATAGCTGCATTCGCCACAAGTGGAGAAAAATTTAAATCTGCATGGCACTTTACTCCAATTGGCTCATTCGCTTGCTTAAACTCAACGTTGATTCTGATTCCACAGAACTGGGTTGGGTGTGAAAAAGTATTTGTTAACATTCTTTTTTCATTCGGTTTTTCCAGTTACACGTCCTTTTTTAAAGCTGATCTTTTTTTTTGTTCATTTTGTTTAGTTCTTTTTTCGTAACAGATTTAATGTTTAGTATAGAGCTTAGAAAAAATTCGCAGTGTGAGATAGGCAAGAAGTAAGGCATGTAGCAACATCAGCACGGCAAAGGGCACTCCTTCAAAGGCAAGGAAGGGCAAAAATATTTTAAGTCAAGTGATAGCAATTGCTGTATGAGTCGTACAATTTTTGAATCAAGCATGGGCAATGCCAGGCCATGCTGCTAGTATATATATATATATATATATATATATATAAAACATTTGAAGATATATATCTATCTCTCTCTTCACCCATTACTAGAGTGAACACTTCATATTTGAAATAGACACCCCATTTTTATTTATTAAACAGTTTATTACATATGGTGTCTATTTCAAATAGAAATAATGTTTGGAGTAATAAAAATGTCAGATTAAAAATAAATACATTAATTCTCTCTCTCTCTCTCTCTCTCTCTCTATATATATATATATATATATATATATATATATATATATATATATATATTTTATATATATTAGTGTTCCTACCACTGTCAAAAAAAAAACAAAAAAAAAAACCTCTTTTCATATCTTATCTCTGTGGGGTGCAGGTTTGCCAGATTGGGCCACATTTGAAAGGTCAAATCTACTAAATTTTGAATTGACTTCAGGTTTGCTCACCTTATTTTAAAAGAAGCTCATAAAGTCATAGGTAGCAAAAAATTCCTTTAAATTATTAGCACCCAGCTTTCAAAAGTAGCTCAATCTCTCAATGCTAATGCAAAAACCTACTTTGAAGTGTTTTTATCACATTAAACATTATTTTTAGTATTATAAAAAAATTATTATAAAGAAATTATTATAAAAATAACATTTAAAAATAAAATGATAAAATCTATCATATTAATAAATAAAACTCTATTACTTCTTTAAAAAATTGCTTTGAAGTATTTCTAACCCTTTATGCATCCGGTGTATGGTATAATTTCATTTTAGGAAAACGAAAAGATTTAGATGAATTGATTGTGTGGTGTATAGGAGAATTTGCATCCCTTCACTTGAATAATGTACTTTAGATTTAACCGCCTCTAAAGATGATCAGTTTTTATTTATTTATTTTTAAAACCCTTACAAATATCTTTTCTGTCATTTTTATATTGGTTAATTATATTGGTTAATTATATTGGTTAATTAAAAGATAATTCCTGGTGCAATATCTTTATTGTTCTCTTTTCAATGTAACACTCTAATCCACTACTTGAACTGGTAAGGGACAACTCAGGACCAGAAAAACATAACGTTTTTTATAACCGAATAAAAGTAATTTATTAAAGATTAAAACCTTAATTAGTGAATATTTTTCTTCAAATAAGGTATTTGAAAAAGGCATCATGTAAAATATGAACCAGTTTTTAAGTATTTTTAATAGTTTTAGTTTAGTTTTAGTTGAAGGTGAGGACCCCAACGTAAAAACTGGTTGTCCAATGTCAAACAATGGACAGGTATGACTATACCAGAATTGCTGATTGCTGTTGACAGACCATTGTAGAGATTTTGTGTGGCTTCTGCATTTGGATCCCCCCCACCACGATTACAAAAGTCAAGAGGATGATTATGATGAATAAAGTAAATTGTAAAGGAATTTATTTTTTAATAAAGTAGATTGAAATTATTTTTATAATTTCAAGATGCACACTTTTTTTATTTAAGTAAATCGAAAACTGCAAAACAAAATGAAGCAGTTTTTTATGTTTGATAATTTTTAATAAAGTAAATTGTAATGTAATTTATATTTTAATAAAGTAAATTGAAATTCTTATTTTTTTTATCTGTCAATTTACTTTATTAAAAATTTATTGCATATTTCCTTTTCAAATGCCTTATTTGAAGAAAAATATTGAATAATTAAGGATTTAATCCTTAATAAATTACTTTTATTCGGTTATAAAAAAAAAAGTTATTTTTTTTCTGGTGCTGAGTTGTCTCATTTCTGAGTTGTTCTGCACTCACCCGAACTGCTTAAAACTTTTCTCAATTTTAATGCAAGGGAGATAAGTTAATATAGCCAAGGACAAAAATAAAGAGGTGGGGATATAAAATATTTTATAATTTAAAAAGATATTTTTCTTAATCGTTATTTTGATGATTTTTTTTTTATTTTTCTATGTTTCCTAAAAGCGAAGAATATTTTCTGAGTCTCCCTTCAGAATGTCAGTTCTGTTTACTTTTAAAGAAAGAAATTCTATATGCTATTCTTAAGTTATTTATAAGTGAGGGTGATGACAACTTGCAATAGAATAAAGGCTGTTCAATCTTCACATGTTGATTCAGAATCTTGGTTTTAATATGTATTCACATGAAGTCTAACAGCCATAAATCCTATTCTATTAGTTTTTTTTTTCTTTTTCATATTCTGATTATTCTTAAAGCAAGAACTTCACACTAATATTACTTGGGTGATTCACAGAAAATGTCAAGGACAATATTGCTTGGGTGATTCACAAAAAATGTCAAGGACAATATTGCTTGGGTGATTCACAGAATTTGCTCAACTTCGTCAAAATCTATGAGAAAGAACTGTATCTGTTTTATTGAAATGTGTGAATTGCTTCTGTTCATAAAGAACAATGTTTCCTGTTTAATAAGTTTCTAGTTTAGTAAATGTTAAAAATGTGCAATCCAAATTACCAACAAATAGATTTTTCCTTTTTTGTGAAAAGTCTTTACATATTTGATAAAATGTGACTTTGATGAAGTGAAAATGGTTATTTAAAGAAACATTCAGCCAGGTGATCTCCTCAAGAACAGTGAATTTTAACATTTTCCTGATTGGTTTTTACCAGTTTTAAGGTAACTGAAATTTACATTCAATTTCTGAGCCATCTACACAGGTTACTATACTAAAATTCTGGACATCTTATGCTCAGGTTTGATGATTGATGCCTTTTTCAATTACAAATATCTAGTAATTGTGAGTTAAATCCCTGAGCAATGTATGCTTGGACTCTGTGGAAACGGCGAGCAAAAACTAAGCAGTACTAAAAAATAAAAACTACTCAAGATATCCCAAGACATGGGCAGTGGAATGAGAACAGTCTACCGTTGTAGATTAAATAAAAGCTTCAGTTCAAAATTCCCTGTAGGTTACCTGGATTGACATACATGTGATAAAGACCAAAGAGCCCAATGGACAAAGCATTGTGATAACAACAACAAAGATGTGGACAATAATCCACATGAAACTAGTGTAAATATGAATATCTTGTTTTAGCTGTTTCCATGGAAAGTAAATTCAGTATCCATGTTAAATTTGATGATTTGGCTGGTTGGTCTGGAAAAAGGATTAAGACATTATTAATATAAAATGATGTCTATTTTTCCAGAGTGCTCCCCTTTTGCAAGACAAGCAAACTCTAGTTTCTTGTCCTTTTGAGTTTGGTCCTCACCACATACTCTGTTACTTTAACATAGCCTGGCACAAGGCTAATCTTAGTATCTAAGTTCTGATGTGTCTACTGAAAACATTTTAAAATATTAATTAAAAATGTGACATCAGTTCATTGCAGTTTTATCAATTATATCTAACAGCATGTGTCATATCTTGACCCACTTAAAAGCTCTTGTTCAATTAATTTGCATATTCAGCTTTTAAAATAATAATTTTAAAACTGTGTGCTTACTCATTCTGAATCTGATTTGTGAATAAATTATTTTTTGTTGATGGCTTTTTATAATTAAGTTGCTTACTTGTTCATATTCCATCCTGAAAGCATTTACATCACAGTTTGACAATAAAAGGGAAGTAAGCACTGTTGTCATTTTTAGTGTTTTTGTAAATTTAACAAATATGAATTATATCATTACCTATTGTATATGAATTAAATGATAGCTAAAATATTTAAACTGCTTTAATTATGATAATTCTGTTAATATCATTTCATGGAACTTGAAAATCTCTAAAAGAAATGACTGTGTTGCAGAGTGGAAAAAAGGAAAACAATTTAGTTTGAACAATGCTAAATTACAAGTAGGATACAATGGGCCCCCACTTGATTGGCCTAGAACGTCCACATAGTCAAGTGGGCTGTAAATGAGTTTATCTGATCTTGAAGTGACTAGTGTTTTATGATATCCAACAATAAAATCTAGATGTGAAATCTCCAAAGTAACACCCATTATCCACAAGGAAAGAAAAAGAAAATAATAAATTAAAACTTACAAGGAGAGATTGTGTCACACTAATCTATAGTATATGTTCTCTTTTAGAAGGAAAATATTAAATTTATTCAACCAAGAGGACATATCTGAAGTGATTCCTGTTAACAGAGAAATAGATAAATATGGAATTCTATAAAATATATATTTTTTTTTTAAAGTTATCTATCAATTTGTTTTTAAATTGACATTGAATTTTATGCAAATTTTCCTGATCTAAATATCAGCTGTCAGTAAAGATGAACAACTCAAACCAAAAACTAAACGTAAGTAAACTGATCTTTATTCTACAAGAATCTAATTTGCATTGAAGAAAAAAAAATGTTTGTGCACACATATTCACTTTTTGGCAAACATGAATAAACATGCCTGCATTAAGATGGAGTGTCAAAAGGGCAATTTTTTTTTAACTACTTTCCCTTTTCAACGATGTTCATTGTTTTAAAAAGTGATGATTAGAATTGTAATAAAGCCTAAACATATGATTGTTATATTCCGTGCTAATAGGAATATATACTTGAAAACACGGTGGATAAAATAAGTAAAAACCAGTACAATAAGAATAAAGGTAACAGTTATGCACAAGGTCGTTGCAAGTCAATCCAGTAGTGAGTGCTAATATTGGAAGGTCGGTAGTTTCTCGTGTAAGTCTGAGTCGTACTTAACAGATCCCAGCTAGTATATTTAGGTACCCCCCTACGAGGGTTGCATGTGGTACAAGGCTGGTTTAACGTGGGTTCTTTGAGCTCATTGGCTTGGCCAAAAATATTCCCTTTTGAACCCATATAAACGGGTTCAGGGGCAATCTACCTCCCTGAACAAGACTGCCCTTTGATGGAGCCTTGTCTGAGTTTGGCTGTTTAGCTGGAACAGGTTGAAGCTAGTATATTTAGCTACCCTCCCCCTCCACGAGGGTTGCATGTGGCACAAGGCTGGTTTAGCATGTGTTCTCCGAGTGTGTAGGCTCAGCTAAAAATATTCTCTTTTTGAACCCGCATAAACGGGTTCAGGGTCAGTCTACCTCCCCGAATGAAACTCTGCCCTTTGACGGAGCCTCATCTGGGTTCTTCTCTGCCCAAAGGCAAAGAGTTTTACTGTTTAGCCGGAACAGGTCACAGCTAGACTCTGTAGTCCGTTGACTTAGGTAGCTACTACCTATAGTGTAGTCACTCATAGGGGTGACAGGTTATTCCATTACATCAATGATTGGCAACAAAAATATTAAATACTATTTATTAGATTGTTTATTTACAAGAATATTTTTATATTTATGACATTCTAATAACTAATATAATTAGAACTAATGCAATGTAATATTTATCATTTACCAATTTATAAAGAAATAAATGTGAAAATTTTTTATTCATAAATTTATAAACATTTACTAAATTAAAATATGTGAACCAACTATAAGGAATTCCTTATTATTTACCATTTTATAAAGTTTGAATCAATTGACAATTAACCAATATTTTGCCAACCATTCCAATAAACAATTTAATAAATAGGGTAAATAAACAATTTAATAAATAGTATTTATCATTTTTGTTGTCAATTCTTAAGAACAAAGAAAATGTATAAATTCACTTTCATCATATGTTTAGGTTTTATTACAATTCATCACTTTTTAAAATAATGAACATTGCTGCTGAGGTGTGAAGGTAATTAAAAATTAAGTCTCATGGGAAAGATTGTCCTTTTGACAATATGTCTTTGTGTAAAAATTGGTTGGATGCACACACAGGAAAAGAAAGGGAAAAAAAAGTTAATGCGTGTCCAATAGGTCCACTAGGCAAAACAAATCCACACTTCTCTCTGTGTCTCAATCTCCAATACACCACTCCCTGTTAGAAGCAAAAACGAACTGCTCTTGAATGTACCATGCTTTTATGCACCTGGCCCAGCCATTGCTCAGCCAATGAGTGCCCAAAACCAGACAATAAAAATGGCTACAAGTGACCTCCACCATTTCCATCAGTACAAAGTGCTCACTGATTTGCTGTCTCCACACTCCCCTTGCAAAATGTACATGTGACTCTAGCTCTTTTGAGCCACTGAGGTAAGTCACCACTACAGTCTTATTGCAGGCACATTTATTCATGTTTGCCCATATTTTTTTACTTCTCCATGCAAGCAGGACCTGATACAAGGTGTTTTTTAGTCTCTTGTGGATTACATAGGAGGGGGGGTGTAGTCTAAAAATTGCTCAGTTCCCTCAGTATATCTCTTTAGAGTACCTCAGACATCAGGCATTAACATTGCCCCTACTATGTTGTTTACTAAAAAAGTTTTTGATAAGTTGACTTCACTGATTAATACCCACTGTCTAAATTTTGGGATACATAGGCATTAATGGTTCATAGAGTAGAAACCTATAATTAACACTTTCTCTGGTGCATTGTTGCCTGACTGTGCTGGCCCCATTTTAGAAACTTGCTATTTACTGGAAATAAATGGCAATTTCTCATATAATACCAGGTTCTGTAAGCTTGGATGTGCAGATGGTGTTATGGATAATGGCTCAGAAGTGGAAATCAGAGAACTGAGTTCCAATTGGGTTTGTGATATTCATTTATGCACAAATACCATTGGGAAAGATGTGAATCCACCTTCCCCTACCATCTATGGGTTAATTAATAAGAACTTTTATCAATAAATTCTCCAAAAAATTCTTACAATCTAAAAATATTTTCTGGCTTTAAATAAGATGCAAAAGGTTGATAAGCCATAAAAAAAAAACAATCAGTTACAATATAATAAAAATAAGCCACAAAAATATATCCTTCAATATGTTTACACTGGTTTGGAAATAAGATAAATGCTAGAGACCAACATTTCACAGTGTCTTAAAAATGTATTTATTTCTAAAGAATTAATGGATTGTATTTTTAATCCGACATTTTTATTACTATAAATATTATTTCTAATGGATTGTAGATTTGATATGGAGATCCACTAGAAATAATGTTTACAATAAAAAATAAAATAATGTACCTATATAAACAGCAGGCAATATAAGAAACGTATAAGTTAATCCAAAAGAAGTGTTAATTAATACTGGATTTTTATAAGCCCATAATTAATACCAGATTTTATAATGGATTAATTTGATTTCATTCATATTAGCGGAAATTCTTCTGCCATGATGCCAGCAAATATGGACTACTTCGATTTTTTTTCCTTTCAGGCACTATTGTTTCCATTAATACCAAATGTATTCACAGAAATTTTATACTTGGATTAGAAGCAATAGGAGTAGATAGGTTCACCTATCATCCGTTTCACATTTCTCTCCCAGTCTTTTGAACAGGAATAGAGTTTTAGCCCTTGTTTCCTGTTTAGGATTGAATTTTCAATTCCTTTTAAAAAGGCTACTTCAACTCTATATTTCTAAACTCTAAAATTTTATTTACTATTTATTTATTTATTTATTTTTCCTTACATGCCTCCCCGCCCTTTTGAGCAGGAGTAGAGGTTTATCCCTTGTTTCCTTTTTAGTTTAGGATTGGGTTTCCGGTTCCTAAAGTCTTTTTCATTTTCTTTCACTCCAGTAACCCCTTGCATCTTAGCGGCATTATCGCCTTGATTGATGGTGAATTGATTAATATTTAATTTTTTGTGCATGTATTTTAAATAGGACAAATATTTTAAATGTGTTTGATTTTCATAATTTTTTTACTCGTTTTCCAATATTCCTAGAATAAAATAAAAAATATTAAGTAAAATTATTACGTGAATCAACAGTGATGCATTTATAGAAAAGGTAAATAAACATTGTAAATAAACAAGAGTTACCCCCCTTTATATTATTTTATTTTATTTTTTTTTAAGTCTTTCTTTTTCTTTTCTGTAGTCACTATATTTTTGTTTTCCTTTAAGGATTAAAATTTCGCTAAAACTTTACAAGTATTTAGTATTGTATGTTTGTTCATGCGAACAAATTTCCACGTTTTGCTGTTTTTATAGTTTTAACCACTCTACTTTCCAACCGTCCTTATGTGTGCTTTCAAATGTCAGACTGTTTTGAGTATTATGTCAGACTGTTTTGAGTATTGAATGTCATGCATTTCTCCACTCCCATACATATCATATTCAGTGCGTCCGTCTTAGAACTGTTCTCCTCCTCTGATTCACATGTTGAATCTCTGACCTAATGAACGAGATGAATCTCACCTGCACTCTTTCTTTTCATTTTATAGAGATGTCAAAGCTTTTGGATCCTCAAATTCAGTCTTTTCTGTTTTAAAGAAAGGAATTTAATTTGAATGAACAAATAGACAATGATTATCACCATGTGTTTGAAAAAGAAATTTCAGAGTTTGCAATTTTTAAAACTTGAATCAAAATTAAGAGCATGTGCATTGTCTTTGTTAATGTTTGAAATGCAATTGTTACCATTAAAATAAGTTTTAGTTTTTGCAGTTGCTTTTTATTTTCACAAATTCCAAGAAAAGAATTTTAAGAGATTTTGGAATAATTTTATTTTCTTATAATGAGAAAAATTGAAAAGATTTCCCATAAGAATTTTTATAATTATTTGATATTTTAAGAAAGAACCATTTCTTTCAAAATATTTTGTGTTGCATTTCTAAATAAATGAAAGCCCCAAGAATTGTTTAGATCCTCCTCCTCCTTAAAATATTAGTGCTGTGACTGACATTTAAGTTATGATAAATTTCTATTGTCCGTCAGGATGTTCAAGTGATGTAATGGATAGTGGCTCAGAATGAGAAATTGGAGGCCAAAGTTCCAATTCCAGTCAGGTTCAAATACTCTTGGGAAAGCTATTAATTCATCTCACCCCCTCAAATATGAGTTAAATAGTAGGCCTTGTATCAGGAAAAATCATTATTTTCAAAAAAATTGTTAATGTAATATTCACTTGCACAAAATAATTATTCTTACAATCCAAAATATGTTTCAGCTTTAACTAATCCACAAAGCCATAAAAACAAATCCATCATCAATTATTTTTGTTACAGATTTTTTTTTAAATAAATGCTTTAAAATGAGATGAAACATAAAGCCTCTTTTTTAAATTATGTTTTTTTATATGAACCTTGATTAATTTTTGTATCAGATCCTTTTCTATGAATTAAGAACATGAGAATAATATGCTTTCAACATTTTGTGCTACATTAATAAAATTTAAACACTAATCAATTTGTAGATATTTCAGTTCATTCAATTCTCTATAATTAATTCCTTGCTTCCAGAAGCCTCTTTCAACTGGCAAGATCCATTGAATTTGGAATGTCTCCTCACTGAAGAGGAAATTTTGATTCGTGACCAATTCCGACAGTACTGTCAGGAGAAACTCATGACACGTATTCTTGATGCAAATAGACATGAACGTAAGTAAAAAGTAGCTGGTCAAATATCTATCAAAAGCAGTTTTAATATTTTTGTGTATTTGTATTATTGGTATTACAATCAAGAGAGAACCAATGTTGTTTTTTTTCTTTCCTCATATCTATTTAGAATTTATTTCTCTAACATTTGAATGCTTTATCATATTTGCTATTATTATCAAACTACTTTTGAAAACTATTACTAGTGAATTCCATCTTCATTCATTTTCCAGTCTACACTAAGCTTAGTAAATGCGTTTATAATTGTTAACATCTAAAAACCCTCATTAACCAGAAAATTACTGGAAGATAATGTGTTCAAGGCAAGTGTACTTCTATAAATAAAGAGCTCAATATTAAAAAATAAAGCAACAGTAGTTAAAAATTAAAGTTTAAATGACTTATCTTCTGTTTGATGTTTCTCAGAAACACCATCTTGCTCATCTATTGAATACATTGACAGATATCACATTTATTACTTAATTTAAATATGTTACAAAAAAAATTGTTGACATCCAGAATATTATTTATAAATAAATATAATATTTCCATCACTTGAAAATTGCTTCAGCATGAAACTTGGAGTTGTGCAAGTGATGCAAGATATCATATATATTTTTTAATATATATATATATATATATATATATTTAAATAGTTCTGTTACTTAACATTGAGCACTGTTTTTTTTTTTTTCTTACACCATAGAGTATTTATATACCTACCTATATTTACCCATTCGGTTATATATATATAGGAAAAATACTGGATTCAAACCAGCCTGGAGAGGGTTGTGCTCTGTCAGACTATCTTGCTCAAGACACACCACTGTTGCTACAGTACACGTAGTGCCACTTTGATCCCAATAGGCTACAGGATTCGGGATCATATTTCTCACACACACACACACACACACACACACACATATATATGAAATAAAACATAAAATCTTTTAAAATTTGTAACTCTCATTTTTGTGACAGATTTTCCTAAAATGTTTCTGCCGTGTGCAAGAAAACTTATTCTTCCTCTAAAAGATAAAAAAAGATTCATAAATATTTTTGGTTTAGTTCAAGATTAAAAATTATTTTATAAAGAAGTGTGTTTCTGAAAGGATAATTGTAGTTGGTCAAATCAAGAAAAAAAATGAAAGTCACAAATTTGTAGTTCATAGGTTAGAAAACTGTATGACACAAAACCATCCTTCATACATCGCAGAGAACAACAAAAAATAACTGACTCATCGCTTGTGGAAGTTGGGAAGTCAAGAAACCAATGATTGGTTGAAGTTGAGCAAAAAAATTTGCATGACATTCTTTATATACAGAAAGAAATCATGCGACCCCGCCTCCTCCTTTTTCTCTGGCTGATAAAATGTAACATGCTGTTGCTTGTTTCAACAAGATAAGTCAACATTTTCTTCACCACAAAAATCTTCATAAAAATGCCTGCTTTATGCATTAAATACAAATTGTTTTTTTACATGATAATTTTGTAGAATGACAAACATAAATGTCATTTTTATTATTTTGTTCTTTTTTATATAATAATTTTTTATTTTTTTTTGAATTTTGTTTAATTTCAACAAAGTAAAATACCTAATTATTATTATTCATTCAGATTTTGACCCTGAAATCATGAGGGAATTGGGATCTTTGGGAGTTCTTGGACCAACAATTCAAGGTTATGGCTGTGCTGGTGTCTCTTCTGTAGCTTATGGTTTAATTGCAAGAGAAATTGAAAGGTAAATATCTTTTAACATAAAATCTAAAATGAAGTTGAAAGCAGACAATAATGGCTGCTAAATGATACAATAAAGCAAAAGTGTTATTGGATGTGGTTTGCAATTCAGCTTAGAAAAAATGTGAGAAACACTATCAGGAAAAATAGAATGGAAACTTGAACAATATTTTTATTTTATTTTTTTTAACACTTCAACAACAAAGTTTCATAAAGGGAGATCAGTCATGGTGAACATTTGTAACATTAATGGTTTGGTTTGTTTTACAGTATATCAACCTCAATGGGTTATTTAATACCGACAAAATTTTTATTGCAGGTAATATATATTTTTTTTTTTTCAGAAATGTATGGCTGGTAATATTTTTCCTTCAAAAATGTATTGCTGGTAATATATTTTCCTTCAAAAATGTATTGCTGGTATTAAAACCTATTTTTACACTTTTATAGTTTTGACCCCAGTTTGGAGAGCCAACTATTTGCCCATAGCTGGGACCCTAATGGGTGCTACCACCCCAGGTCAGGGTGGACCCGGGAACACCAGCAATTAAGAGGTGGTTCCACACAACTCAAAGTCTCCTGATATGAGGCCTTGCTGTTGGACATAGTTTATCGTCTTACCCAGTATGTGTAACATTAATAGAATAATAATTTTTGTTTTCTTTTGGTGAAGAGACAACAGCTGTAGTCTATTTAGTTCAGACATAAAATCGAGGCATAAAAATGGTGAGCAGCAAAAAGAATTTTGAATTTCACTCTTCACTGGCATTACTTAAATTAACTGATCTTCCCATAAAAAGCAAGAAAATAATTTTGGGGGAATAATTTTTATAGATTATCATTTATTAGATCAGGCAAGGGCTACCTTTTTCGATCAATGGGATGCTTGAGATCTGGTTCATCATAAGATCTGAATTACTGAAAAACATTCAGCAAAAATGGATAAACATCCCTACAATAAGATGTAGTGTCAAAAGGATGGTTTTTCCCATGACACTTTTTTTAAACTACTTTCACTCATCAGCAATGTTTATTGTTTTAAAAAGCGATGATTAGAATTGTAATAAAACCTAAACATATGAAAGTGAATTTATACATTTTCTTTGTTCTTGTGATTTATTTTTTTAAAGTAATTTTCAAAATTTAGGGGTTGCCCAATCCCCTTTTGAGAGTGGTCAGAGGAATCATGCAGCCCTTTGACTCCAACTCCCTTCATTTTTCATCTCGTACCATTACTCCATATGGACGGTGCTAATCTTTCTCTCTTCCTACTCCTAACTTCTCATCAACCAATTGCAGGCCATTGCCAAAGGCTGGTACAACTGTCTTTATCTAAACTTTAAGAATGCGTAGGCCAAAAGGGAATTTCCAGTGATTAATCTTTCTTTATCAACTTGTCTCATTCTGGTTGTTTTAGATTGTTTCCCAAAACTAAGGACTGGACCATATCTAAGATGATCAAAGCCAATTTGGATGGGTCCCTTGCCAGCCAATCTCAAGAATTGTTCATCCATGGTCATAAGTGGGAAAGAAAAGGAAAAAAACATACCCTCAGTATCTTTAGTAATAAAAAAAAATTGTTTCTCAGTCAGCCAGACCACACAGCCTATTGCATAGGGTCACTCCAAGCTAGTAATTAATCTTTCTTTAGGAGCTTGTCTTCAAAAACTCAAAAATAATGTCTGCTATAAAAATTTTAACGAATGTCACAAATTAAAATAAATGAACCAATCCCCAATCTTAGGCGTTAACCTTTATTTACGAATAAAATATAAAGTTCCAAGTGAGTATAAAGTTCTGTGGTATCAAGTCCTTGTTTAAATATTTTCATTGTAGATAGCACAGAAGTACTATTGACGAAGCGTATCATTTGATTTTGGCATGAGGCAAATTCCCTTAGAGCCAAGAAGTTGTTTCTCCAGTTTTGTGTGTCATGTGGTGTTGCCCCTTCGTTTATCAAGGGCAGGTTACTCAGAATTAAAATAAGGTTCTGTTATCCAGTCGAACGTGCTTTTATAAAGCATGAGTTAAGTAAATTTTTGACATTTCTTCGTCATAATTGTGTTTGTATTGCTCATTCCTAGCCAAGATTAGGCACAAATTATCTTTCTTTGATTTTTTTTTTTTTGTTTCTTGTCATATTTAGCAATGAATTAGTTGCAATTTGAAGAGTGTATTAAGTCAAAAAATCAAAGTTATCTCAATTCTCTCATCTCAAAAAGATTTGGTTTTGGAAATGGAGATTTAAAACATATATTTAATTGGTCTTGTTATTTCCTGTGGCGATACCAACAAAATAGAAGCAAGAGTACAGAGATGGTTACTCTCTGTATATAAGAGTAACCTTAATTCCTAAATTGTGTATGATCTTATTTGACCTATAGGATCCCAACAACAAATTGCCCCTTAGACAATTGGCCAAATGGTTGGGTGAATTACTTCAGCCAGTTTCCAATCTTTTTTCTACTTACTGCGTTTCTGACTCATTTTGGTTTTCTAGTTTCATTAGAGGCTCTGATTTGTGTTCTGAAAGCAAACTCACGGTGTCCTTTCATATTGTCAGTTTGTACACAAACATCCTCCTTCAGGATATGTTACAAATCTGCATTGACCTTCCTTATAGAGGTCACCTTGGTCCCACCTTAATTCCTGAAAGTTTATTTTTGAAATTTATGTATTTAGCAACAGGGAGGGGTAGAATTTAGCTTTAACAATACCATGTATGCCCAAGTTGATGGGGTTTCAATGGGCAGTCCCTTGGATCCAGTATTAGCTAACATTTTTGTTGCGTTTTATGAGAGCCTTTTATTTGAAAAATATTGTAAGTTGTTATGTTGATAACACCTTTTCTATTTTCAATTCCATCAAGGATGTTAAAGCCTTGCATACCCAACTTAATTCCCTTCATCCATCCCTTTCAATTTACCATGGAAGTGGAAAATGATTGTACTTTGCTTTTTTTGAATGTACTAGTTGAACACAAAGGTGGATTGTTCATTACCAGTGTTTATTGAAAGCCTACATTTACAGGTCTATACACTAACTGGAACTCTTTTGTCCCTAAGTCTTGTAAGATCAACTTGATTTCTACCTTGTTTCATTGTGTGTTGATGATTTGTTCTCCCGGTAGATTTGATCAAGAATTGGAGAACATTCATTGCGTTTTTCATGGCAATGGTTATCCTATTAATGTCATTAAATGCTTTGTTAAACGTAAGATTAAACACTTTAAAGAACCAGTAGTGTTTGGTCCTAACCTGGCCCTCATTTGATTAAAATTACTGTGGTTTAGTGGGAAGTCAAGCACTGGCTGACAGAATGTCGGCTTGTGTCACATCAGGTTGTTCTAATGCCAGGTTGTGTGTCATTTTTTTTTTTTTTTTGAATAATTCGGTGTCTCCTTATTTTGTCAAAGATCGTATATAAATTCAAAAGCCACTTTGAAGCTGAATACACAGGATGACCCAATAAACCCCTAGAAACTCAAATTGGTTAGCATGTTCCTGCCAGTATAAAACATAATTCAAGTCACTCTTTGAGGGTATCTCAGTCTGCACATGAGTCGGCTAATTGGCCAGTACTTACTTGACAACCTAGACTGTGCTAATAAATATGTGAACAATTCTTTCTCAGTTTTACACAGAGCCTGGTCTGTTTACCATTTATGTCTTTTGGAAGCAATCCATATTGTTACATCAACTGTCTCTGTATAGACAGAAGGAACACACTTCATTCACTCCCTTAATCTTTTAGGAGGCCTGTGATTAATATTTTTTCCATTTTATACTCACCTGGAATTATATATTTTATTTGTAAATCATTTTACAATAAATTTATTATAATCCTTGTTCCAAAATTTCCCTCCTCAACTCTCCATTATCTATTTTCTTTTCTTCAATGTGTGAATTGTTCATTTCTTTTTTCTTCTCAAAAGTCTTGTCAATGTTTTCCTTCTGATGAAGTGTTGGCTGAACAGGATTCCATAAGGAAAATAAATAAAAATGCCCTTGTGTATTTTTAAAACTAACTAACTATATATATATATATATATATATATAGTAAAGGTAATAAATCCATTAAGTGGATCCTAGTAATATAAAATATTAAAACTGATCCACAAATATGTTCCTGTAAAAAAAACATTACATATTTAATTATTGAAGTAGGTAATCACTAAACAGTCTTTATAATCAAAATTTCATGGAACAGAATGTGATCCAGAAAAACTCAAATGCATTTATTATTTTTTGGTTTTTATTTGAGTTTTTGGTAAAAATGATTATTTTATTTAAAAAGAAATAAAATTTTCACTTTTTCAGACTAAAAAGATCTTATAAAAGAATTTTACATGGAAGACAAGTGCAAAATATTTCAGCTGAAAAGCAGAAATGATTACCAGCCTATGCATCCATAGTTAATAATAATATCCCATCAACATCAGTGTAACATTTTTTTAAAATTATTTTATGAATAGTTCCAGGGACATTTTTTTTCCAAATATCTATGTATTTTTATTTTTTAAAGTACATCAAACTTTTAAAAGCAAAATCCTTGAGAGGTGCACTATTTGAAAAAATAAATAAAAACTTTGAAAAATATTACAATATTAAATTCACCAAGTCTAAGTCTGCACTACTCAACCCAGACATATGGGCAGCAGAAGGAAAACAATTTACCTGCATAGATTAAATAAAAGGTTTGGTTCAAAGTTTCTTGAAGCTTAGCCGGATTGACAAGCACCTTATGAAGACTGGAGGGAAAAACTGCCAAAATGTTGCAAAAGTACAATCATCTGTATGTAAATAATGTAAATAATTTTATGTATATGTAATGATAACATCTCTTTATGTATATATAATGATAGCATCTTTTTAGTCCGTTTTCATTTTTTTTCTTTTTTTGGTTTTGATATTTTAGAGTTGACAGTAGTTACAGATCTGCAATGAGTGTACAGTCGTCGCTTGTGATGCACCCAATTGATGCTTATGGAAACCAAGAACAGAAAGAACGATTCTTGGCAAAACTGGGTAAATGAAAAATTTTTTGTCATCAATTTATTGTTCATTTTCAGATTCTGAAATTAATTTTTTTTTTCATTATTCTAGATTTTTTTATTAATAATCTTTGACATGTTTCTTAAACTTTTTTGTTGTTTTTATTGCAATTATTTTCAACTGATTCATTCTTCTTACATTAAAATGACTCTAAACAAAGAAATAATCTCAGACAAGTTTTAAACTTGTATTCTGTATTCACTACTTTTGCCTGAAGCTATTCCTTTTTTGAATTCTTACAGTTTTATGAGTTTATGAAACACATACATTGCTTGCTGTATATATATATATATATATATATATATATATATATATAAAGTTAATAAATCCAAGTGGATCCTAGTAATATAAAATATTAAAAGTGATCCACAAAAAGAGCTCAATGTATTATTACAGAGCAATATAATTAATACACAATAAAATCCCAAATCATTCCCCCATATGTGATTTTGAATTCTATTGTCTATTAATTATATATAATGTGAACATAAACTAAATCATGAGATATTAGTAACTGTATATGTGTGTGATAACCTACATATACAGATGAGCAAATAAATATTTATTTAATTTAAGGTATAATCAAAACAGTGTTCAATGTAGATAAAGAGCTATAAAGTATATATTAATAAATACACATATACCTACATTTGTTACTGCCATGTGTTACATGTGTACATCATGTAGTATATGGCATATGTACCCCCCTGCATACATCCAGTTCAGTTTTGTTCATGGCAACTATGTTTGGTACTTTTTTGTGAAATAAAAAAAAAATCACTATTTATTTACTTAAGTATAAGCAATCATATATATTATTTTCTAATGATAATGCTTACAATCAAATTGCACAGAAAACAGTGATTCTTGTTCAATCATCAAAGCACAATTCATACTTACATGGGTGGAGAGGGCTGCTTCAAAAACTGCATACTGTAAGCAACCTCCTACATTCTGAGATATGTTTTCTGGCTTTAAATAACTGACAAAGTGTTGATAAGCCATAAAAAAAATAAATCAATCAAACAATCTAATGGGAACTCTACCAGAAAACATAAATGGCATCATATAAGAGTTTCTATATCCAAGGATAGCAGGGAATGTATTCATTCAAATTTACTTGACTAAGTTGATTTTGCATTTTTTCTTTCCTTTTTACTAAAAAATATCATTAGAGTGTCAATAATTTATATATATATATATTACAGCGACAGGAGAATTGATTGGCTGTTTTGGATTGACGGAACCCAATCATGGAAGTGACCCTAGTTCCATGGAGACAAGTGCCACATATAATGCTTCAAATGATACTTATATTTTAAATGGCTCCAAAAGTTGGTAAGATTGGATTCCATTTTTTTCTCTAAAGACTCAATCCTTGTGTTTAAATATGAGATTTGACAGGAATTTTTTTGCTTGAAGTTCAATTCTTCAAAAGTTGTACCACTCTGCCTCTGTTGGAATATTCTTTCTGATAAATAAAAACTTAGCAACAGGAACAGTGTCAATCTTTAAAAAAAAAGTCATAATAATGATTATTTTTTGTTCCCTGAATTTCTCTTGAGAATTTAAAACTAAATGTGATTGAAATCTTTTAGATAAAACTCACTTAGTATTTCTCTCTCCCCTCACATCTTAGTATATTAGCTTGACTGGCAGAACTTACGGGCCTATCATACTATAATTGGGACATTCGCATAGAAAGGGATGGTGTATGATTTTTATCTCAGTCTGAAATGTTACATATTTTATAACCAGTAATAAAGTCTTTGAAAGCGTGTTCTTCAAAAGCAGCCATCCACTTGATCAAAAGAAAATAAAGAAAAAATATAAATGAAAACTTTTGGGATTAAGTGATTAACATACTGGATGTTGAGAATTTCCAGTCATAGGTTTATATTAACAGTCACAGTTGGGATTGAGAAGTGTTCAGGACCATACTTGATTGGGGACAGACTATCCCTCGAAATAATTCTAGGTTACCTCTTACCAGGTGCAAACAGATCGTCAAGATAGTTTCAATGCAGACTGTTAGATTTGCCAGTCATAATGTTGAAATGGGCAAAGGTGTAACATAAATGAGAATAGAAATGGAATCTGGGTTTTTTGTGTCTGGTTGGTGAGAAGCTGAGTGATAGAGCTCCATTGTATATGCTTATAAAATTACTCCTGTCAGAAGTCTCTTTAGCTCTGTATATTTTTATAATTGTATCTCACATTCAACCCACACTGTGGGATTTTGGGAGTCATGCCTTTCTTATAAAAACTGACAAGAATAATTTATCAGCATATTTAAGGATTGAAATTACATTATTGCATAATATAAAAACGACTTTCTAACTTTTTATATCTCAACCTTAAATCTAAAATTCTGATGTTATATATAATCAGTTTGCCTCTCTTGAAATTTGAAAGCATTTTTAAAAAAATAATATATATATATATATATATATATATATATATACTGATTTACCAAGCATAGCTTAGATGTGACACAAGGTCGAAAGTATGGGAAACCCAGTGAGTATTGAACTCCCTACTCAGTCATAATTGTTCTAGCAAGACAATCTTGCTAACCATTACACCACCTCAAGGTGCCTAAAATAAATATATATATATATATATAATCAGGCTGTTTTGTAAATATATTCCTTTGCCTTCTCTCCTTAGCTAATGTGTGTTTGTCTATAGATATCTATATATTATGAATTGTATTAATGAATTTGTGAATTAAAAATTTTTACATGTCAGAATATCTTATAAAACAAAGAAACTGAACAAGTGATTTATTTATTTACTTGTTTCTTAATCTTTTTAATATTTTGAGGACATGTAACTTAGAAAAAATAAGTTTAAATCATTCCTATCTTTTTTTTTTCTTTTCAGGATCACCAACTCCCCAATAGCAGATGTAATGATTGTGTGGGCTAAATCTAAAGCCCATGGTGATAAAGTTCGTGGTTTTATTTTGGAAAAGGGAATGCCTGGCCTCTCTGCTCCTAAAATTGAAGGCAAATTCTCCCTCAGGGCCAGTATTACGGGACAGATCGTTATGGAAGATGTTCCTGTACCAAGTGCAAACTTGTTACCTGGGGTCACTGGTTTAGGGGTAAGTACCGATTATTTTTCTAATGAAACAATTTGTGTATTTGTATAAATTAGATGAGGGTGCTGAAAAGTTCTCAAACTGAACAAGAAACAATTTTTCCCTCTAAAATCTAATGTTTGATCATATTTTGGAAAATGGTTTGAAAAATGATTTTACCAGAGAAATTTCATTAAATTGTTTTCAACTGTTACTCTTATGAAGACAGATTAGAAAAATGGAAGCGGGAACTTTTTGTTGAAAAATTTGCAAAATTAAATTTTTCAGTTCTTTTGATAAAAGTGATTTTTCCTGGGAATTCTTTAAAATACCTTTTTGTCTATATATATATATATATATATATATATATATATATATATATATATATATCTGCCTCAGATAATTTAAAGGCAGAAAATTAATTTATCATTTGTGTATATATTTATAGATAATGCCAAGAAATGTATACACATTTCTTCTCTGTGCCATGTAACTTCAGGACGTTGGTGATCATATTTTTCCATATTTTCCTATCCTTTGTAGCTCTTAATAAATTTTCTCTTTTTTGGTATCTCTCCTTAACCTAATTTGTCTTGTTGTAAAAATATTCTGTTATGATAAAGAAAAATAATAAGTTATTAAATCTGAAAAAAAGTGAATTCCATAGATACATATATTATTTTCCTCTTTACCAGAAATGTCTTTCTTTCTCCAGGGTCCTTTTGGCTGTTTAAACAATGCTCGTTATGGAATTGGCTGGGGTGTTATGGGTGCTGCAGAGTTTTGTCTGCATTATGCCAGACAATACACACTTGACAGGTAAACATAATATTTTTCAGTTATCAGATTTTAATCTTTACCCTGTTTAGATGATAATTGTCCTTTTTTACTATGTTTGTTGCATTAGGTGGATCATTAAGTCCATAGCCAGACACAATTATTAGCTTGACTTTCACTGTATAATGCTTTTTTTTTTCTCAATGTCATCAAGAGAAAAACATTGGGTTATGTTTTAAAAAATGTGTAAAACAAATATTTTTTTTCCACTCATTATGCTAAAGACTACACATAATATGTTCTGAAGCCAGTTTACATTTTGAATATTGTTTACAGAATTCAATTTGGTGTTCCATTGGCTAAGAATCAATTGATACAAAAGAAAATGGCTGACATGTTGACCGAGATTGCCCTTGGCTTGCAGGCAGCAATTCAAGTTGGACGTTTAAAAGATGAAGGAAAGTAAGTTAATATTTATTCCTTTCAAAGCAACATATTCTTTGAACAAAAGTAATATTTATTATTTCTTAAAAAACATTTGTTGTGCTATTTACTTATAAAAGGAGACAAAACAATGAAGTTAACATTTTTAAAGTTTTCATTTTTTTTTTAGGAATGATGAGTCTTGGAAAAAATATTCATTACAGATTTCTTTCTAATGTCAAGGAGAAATAAACAAGTAAATTTATTTGGATGAAAAAAACAACCTCCTTTTTCAGTCATAAAGGTAAAAATAGCAAGTTTAAAAAAATAACTATGAATGTCATTGATGCATAATTTTGTTTTTTCAGTTTAAAGAAAGATAACATTTTGGATGTAAGGTTGAGAAGAGTAGCATAGCTAGGGGTGTAGAGGAGTGGCCCTTTTATTGGGTGGGGAGCAGCGCTACTGTTGTCTACAGCATAAGCCTGAATAGAAAAACCAAGAGAAGTTGCTTTATAGAAAGTTGTAGCTTTCATTTTAAGAATCATTTTTTGTCACTTTTAAACTTTAAATATGTTTTGGTGTGTATTTAAATTAGTATATTTGAGTATGTGAAGGTAATATTATAATGTTGCACAAACATATATATATATATATATATATATATAATCATACAGATAATAAATCTGTTGGTATATAATTCAAGTGGATCATAGTAATATAAAATATTAAAACTGATTCACAAAAAGAGCTCAATGGATTTATTGTAACAGACCATATAAATTACACAACAAAATCCTAAATGACCTCTTATGGGGGTGGGTAATAGATCTATTTCAACTGACAAAAACTATGTCAGTCTTATTCAACCTAAGTGTATAGAATTTCATGTTGGAATTAGAAATTTAACTATATAAACTCCCTTCTGATTTCTTGCTTCCCTGATAACTACAATCTTCAAATACTTAAATGCAACATCAATCACCATCTTCTGTCTTCTTAAACCTTATTCCTTTTTTGTCTTTTCCTCAATCTTGTCCATTCTCAATCACTTTCACTCCATGTAGCTCCCTGCATTTATATAATATAGTGTTTAAAAAGAAGCGATTAAGTTTTGTGTGTGTGTATGTTCTATTTAGTATTTATTAGTGAGAAATTTGTTGCTTTTAGAATAAATATAAAGGAATTGAGAATGTTGTATCATCTTGCCATTGTCCCCAGAAACCTAATGCATCATTTCAAACTAATGTATTTTTTCTTTTGCTTTCTTTTTAGACTGCAAGTTTTCAAATATATAGAGATGAGAAAATGATCCCCCCCCCAACATCTTTTTTTTTTATCTGTTATAGTGGAACACACTTATTCTATAGTTAATAGACTCTCCCACCTATAATAAGTAGCAGTAGTAAGAGTCACTCAGGGAGTCAGTCAATCAGTCAATGCCGTACAACCGTTAGTTGAATACTAAAGTATCAGCGACCACAACTAGATTACTCTGTGTTATACCTATTATATCAATTTCCTAATGTTTTGTACGTCGAACCTATTTTAGGACCGATTTAGTATAAATACAAGCCTCCACTGTGTAATCACTCCATGACATTATCAATACTGCAAATTGCCTCAACACAACACTTGACATGTGACTGTGGGTGGATGGGGTTGTCTTAGGATGTTATTTTATTTATGGTGAATGGATTTTTGGTGATTGCCTTACTCTGTTTCCATTGTTCAATACTGTGCATCTGACAAAAAAAAGTGCTTTTATTGCAGAAGCCGATACTTCTTGTCATTTTGGTAAAGATCAAAGTGTAGTATCTGTTCTTATCAGCTTAATCTGATTCTCTCTCAACATCTGTTTTCCCTTCTTTCTTTCATTTTCTCACTGAAACCAAGTAGTGTTTTTTTTTCCTCACTTTCCACATGATCAAAACACTGAATAATTCATTATTTATGAGGTATTGGCAGGACATAACGGTCGTGCAAACTAACAAAGGGAAGAACAAGCACAATTATAATAGGATAACTATTCTGAACCTGATTTAAAGGGTATCAATTTTATTCCATTAACCCTCTCCTCTGCCAATTATTTTGGGAAAAACATTTCATTTTTCATACAAAGTTTTTTTTAATATTGTATTTTTATGCTGATTATGAAAAATAACTTAAATTTCAATTTTTTCTACTTTTATGGTTGAAATTATATTTTGAAAATCACTTTTTTGGCAAAGACGTGCAAACACGCCTCCCCACAAACCGTATTTTTTACCATTTTTTTTTTTATCTTTCTTAAATAATTTCATTATCAAAAGTAAAGAGAAATGGAAAATATATTTTGCTTTTATTTTTTATTAAATTTACTTGCAAAAATATAATGGAAATTAAAATAATTTGTGAATTTAAATGAATGAATGAAATTACCTTTTCTGACATTTTATGAATTATTTGGAATTATTTTTTAGCAAAAATAGCACAAATTACTTTTTTATTTGCAAATATAAATGAATAGAAATATTCCGTCTGCCATTTTATGAATGAAATTATTTTGTATAGTACTTTTTAAAGCATAAATGTACTTGGCACAGTTTACACATACATTGTGACATTCCATACTGCAATATTCATCAGATGGAAGAAGACTTTCTTGTAATATTCCTTACTCTATTTCCTTAGAATTGGATAATCTACAAGTTGTCACCTTATCAACTCCACCCATTGGATAATTGTAATCATATACAACTTTGGATTTCTTCACAGGCCTTTGTCTCATCTCAACATCCTGTCTAGCCAGATTGTGAATGTCTTTGCTTCAGACAACAAAAGATAGCTCACACTGAACCTCCTTTTCAATGGAATGTACTGTACCCACCCTAATAGCATAAGGCTTTTGTCTATAGATAGGTCTTTGTTAAGGGTATAACATTTTACAAAGTTCTCACCCAATGTCATAAATACATCATAAATCATATACAAAACTAAAAATTCATTTGGCCAGCTCAATAGGGTAATGACTTATTCCTCCCTATGATCTGGAGAAGGCCTTCATTGAATGAAGGACCTTCACAGGCTAAGAAGATGCAAGGGGTTACTGAGTATGAAAGAAATGGAGGACAATAAAATTATTCAGAAGATGATAATTGATATTGAATTTAAAGTTTTGAAGATTGTAGTTGACAGGAAGCTGTAAAAGTTCCACAGGTGAGAAGTGCAAGACAAGAAAATATTACCATAGAACTTATGATTATAACTAGCAATTTCAACAGTGAAATTATGAGACCTATCTGCCAATCTAGTACTGCACTTAAATTTGACAAAAAATCATCAGAACAATTACCATGAAATGATTTATATTTTATACAAGTTTGAAAGGGAGGCTAAGATTCCAGAACTGCTTTTCTGTAGTTTCATGATATAAATGTCTGTCTAAGAAGAATGTATGGTTTTTATTCCTGTCTTTATAGGTAAACAGAGCCTCGACCTTTTGGTTGTTTGGTTGGTGAAGTTTATTCAGTAACTTACCATCATCAAAAGGATTTTTTTTATTAATTTCAAATTAATATTAAAAAAATTGGGAGTTTTTAGTTCATAGCCTGGATTTTTCACTGATAAAACATTTGCTGCAAAGTCAGTTTATCTAATGTTGGGATTATCTACACATGATATGAAAAAAAACAAACTGTTTTCTTTTAATATAGATTCTGTAAAATCTGCTTGATACAAGTTTATGTTAACAGCAACAAATGTTTTTAGCCTATTTTTTTCAATTCAGTAGAATTGGGTAACTCACGTTCAAATCTAAGTTGACTTCCAAGGACTTATAACATCTGCCTTCAGCTGTAAGAAAAAAACAGGATAAAAAAAGATGGGTTTTTTTTGTTACCTGAAAGATATTTATATTTAAAAAAATCATTAAACAAATGATATAGATTTTATATAAAATTTTAAAATCGTGACCTAATCTTCAGATGACTGTTAATTTGTATTTTTTTTTTCCGTTTTCAACTTATGTAAAGTTGAGTGTCCTAATTAGCATATAAATTTTGCTTCATCTTTGTAGAGCTGCTCCTGAAATGATTTCTTTGATTAAAAGGAATAATTGTGGTAAAGCATTAGAAATTTCCCGAATTGCTCGAGACATGCTTGGTGGGAATGGTATTTGTGATGAGTATCATGTCATCAGACACGTCATGAACTTAGAAGCTGTCAACACATATGAAGGTAAGAAAAGAGTAAAAGTAACCCTGAAAAACATGTAGAGGGTTAATATTTGAGTAAGAAGAACTTTGTATGACATTTCAATGTTCATTTACACCATCCTCAGAACTTTATACTGTTTTGAGAATAATTATCAAAATATCAATAAAATCTGCAACAATTTCTTGTTTATTAACTTTTATCACTCTGTACATGATTTCAGTTGCTGTACAAAAAGTGTATCCTGACACTGAAGGTGAATCTGATTGCTGGATAATAGTATGTTTGAATTTCATAGTTGTGTTGTCATATTCAGCTATGGCAACAGAAAACAACTTTGAGTGAAATTAACAATAAGGATACTGCAATTGAGAGGCCTGGAAAAATAATGCAATGGGAAGGGAAATAATATTATTAATGCAGAGATTTAAAAGTTAATCATATATTGATTCACTGCAAGTGTGTTTTTCAGAGTCCCTTTCATTTTACACACCTCGCTTTCTCTCAATCAGCTTGCACACTTCATTCACTTTTGCAGTCTGCCTGTGAACTTCTTTCTCTTTGCTCACACATTTTTCTCTTCTCTCTCCCTCTGCTCACACCTTCTTCTTCTTTCTCTCTCTCTCTGCTCGCACATTTTTCTTTCTCTCCCTCTGCTCACACCTTCTTTTCTCTCTCCTCACACCTTCTTTTCTCTCTCTCCTCACACCTTCTTCCTTTCTCTCTCTCTCCTCACACCACCTTCTTCTTTTCTCTCTCTCTCCTCACACCACCTTCTTTTCTCTCTCTCCTCACACCTTCTTCTTTTCTCTCTCTCTCCTCCACCCACCTTCTTCTTTTCTCTCTCTCTCTCCTCCACCTTCTTCTTTTCTCTCTCTCTCCTCACCTCACCTTCTTCTTTTCTCTCTCTCTCCTCACCTCACACCTTCTTTTTTCTCTCTCTCCTCACCTCACACCTTCTTCTTTCTTTCTCTCTCTCCTCCACCTTCTTCTTTTCTCTCTCTCTCTCCTCACACCTTCTTCTTTTCTCTCTCTCTCTCCTCACACCTTCTTCTTTTCTCTCTCTCTCCTCACACCTTCTTCTTTTCTCTCTCTCTCCCCCACCTTCTTCTTTTCTCTCTCTCTCCTCACACCTTCTTCTTTTCTCTCTCTCTCTCTCCTCACACCTTCTTCTTTTCTCTCTCTCTCTCTCCTCACACCTTCTTCTTTTCTCTCTCTCCATTTTTCTCACCACTGTTGATTGTTAAATTGAAATTTAATAAATAGACGCAAATGTTTGTTTCCAACCAAAGAAATAGTTTTATTTTGCTCACCAAAGATGATATATTTTTCCCAATGTTTCTCTATTTCCTTTCCTTTCCAGGGACCCATGATATTCATGCCCTTATATTGGGAAGATCCATCACAGGAATACAGGCTTTCATGAAGTAAACAAGGTCCTCAAAGCACTTTCTCTTTTACTTATTCAATAAAGATAGTGATTGACATTGAATAATAAAAGACAGTAACAACAAATAATTTTATTTTTTCCCTGTCTTTTCAATTATTTTCCCAAACCTATCCTAGATTACACAGGCTGTGAAAACAAAATCATTAATAAGTAGAAAAACGAATGATGAATTTGGTTAAAACTTCAGCTTATGTTTTATTATTGTTTGATTCAATCTAAGAAAAAAGATTAGATGATCCAGAACACAATACAAACATTTTGGATTTAGAATTGATTATATCAACACAATATTCTTTTAAAATGTGAAAATTATTCAGTGTGAGACATTTTTCCAGATTTGTTCCATTTATTGGTAAATTACAGACAAAAAGTCAAAAACTTATTTTCAAAGGAAATTTTCAGTAAATGAATTAGAATTATTTATGGAGAACTTATAAAAAAAATAATGGTCATGTTGAAAAAATAAATTAATGATATCAAATATGAAATGAAGGAATTCCTATATCAAACAGTTTTAGTCTTAAAGATTTAGTGTTACAAAATCAAAATGGAACAAAATTAGAAGCAAATGTTGAAATCTTAGTCAAAGCCTGTTGGATAAAGTTTTAAGGAATGATGACAACTTGAAGTATTAAATTTTGGAATACATTGTCAATATTACTATAAGAGTTTGTTACAATTTGTAGCAGTTCAACACTGATATATTTTAATTTTGGGGAAACTGATGTACATTTTTGGATAGGCAGCAAAAAAGGAATGACAAGATATTGGATTTTAGACTTTTCAAACAACATAGTTTATTCTGTTTGCAGCATCAAATGACACAACAGATCAGCCATTCGGAGTCTAGTCACTGCAATTAGTGGGGGAAAATTCAAAGAGCAAAAATAATGAACTGAATTATTGATTGAGTCAAAGGTTCAATAAATATGATAAATAAAAAACACTATTTTTTAAATTTTTTAATAAGAAATCCACAGAAACAAATTTTGTAAAATTTCAACAGAAGAAATATTTTCACTCTGTTTTCCTGTTTATAAACAAGTGTCATCATTTAAAATATTGTGATTCTTGCTTCTCTTGGAAAATGTTAAGAATTAATAAAATTTGTTTTTAAATTTTAAATCTCTTAATCAGAAAATATAATTTTCTTGTCTTTTTGTCATTTTCTTTTAATCAAAATCACATTTCCTCTGGGTCAAAGTTTGAAGGACATTATAATCATTGCAAATACACAGATTAAAACCGTTTTTGGAAAATTATGAAAACAGAAATTTTCTGTTAAATAAAGAGATAAAAATAGTATGTATTTGTTCTGTTTGTAAATGCACATTACAATTTTTTTTTTCATAATTTTTTTTTCACTTGCTGTTCAATGCACAATACACAAACTTCTGCACAATTTTGTTGGAAATTTTATTTTATTATTTCTAACATTAATATTATTACTTGTTAAAAATACTATATTTTTATTGCTGTTACAATTTGCAGGTGATTTGTCCATAAAATGATCACAAACTAAAAATCTATAAATAATTTTTAACCTACCCAAGACTCACTAGCATTTATAACTTTCAAAAACAGATAAAGGGTCCCCCTCACTTTTTCAATATAGATTAATCTCCTCCCCCCAACATGTGATTCATTTATTATATATTTGTTTATTTTTTCAATATTTCTAAAGCAAGAAGAAAGAAATATAAAAATTATAACTACAGAAAATTATAGCCTCCTTAAATAAGTTTCTCAGCAGATTTTATAAACAATGCCTTGCATAAGAAAAAGAAAAAATTTAATGGTGTTTTGAAAACCAATACATTTGATATTAGGTTGTAGATTTTCGTCTACCAGGTTTTAGGTAATTCAAATATAGAAATACCAACAATCAGATCATTAAAACATGAATAAACACATGATTGTCAAAAATAATTTGAAAGCAGAATGTAAATTAAGCATAACATTTTATAAACAATGTGTTGTTACTTAAAATTGTTCATTGTTTTATAATCTATTTTAATACATATTAATAGTTCTGATGAATCCTTCAAAAATGTATTCCATTTCATTGTTTACAATCACCTACTAATGTTCCATGAATTGTTCAATGCCTTGACAATAGAAATCACTAAGTTTTAACTCTAAAAATTCATGAAGCCACATTTTAAGCTCCACATCATTGTTGCACCAAACACCCCTCAAATTGTTAGAAAGTGACTGAAAAAGGTGGTAATGTGAAGTGGCTAAATCAGGTGAGTGTGGCAGAACTTCCCAACCAAGCACTTTAATTGCATGTTAAGTCATGTTAGAGACCTATGTTGAATAACCACACTGTATCACATCTTCTCAGCAGAATTCCCCTTTTGAGCCTGTTCATTTGTTCAACATATTAGCATTGACTGGTTGTTTTGAAGCATTTCCTATCATTCTGTTGGTAATGAAGTCATCTCCATACAGAGTATAAATGTCTCAAGCAGCTACAAAAACCTTAGTTGCAAAAGCAGTTACAAAACCTTAAATAAAAGCACAGAAAAGATGTTGAACATGTTCATCCTTGTCTACTTGACATTCCATTTACAGTAAATTCCTATTTAATGTTAAATAAGAATTTACTGTAAGATATTAAAAAAAACATTAAAAAATTAAAATAAAGTTATAATTTGTTTAGCTAATATCTAGATTCTACATGTTTTTGTAAATCATGGCTCAATTTTCACGTCTCCTCTTTCTTTCTCCAAATGGTGCCATGCAAATACAAAGTAATAAAAGAATTCATAAAATTGTGCTTATAACGTTAAAATTTTTCCACATTCTCAATATGTTCTTTTTGTCGGAATCTTCATCCACACCCTGCAAAATTCTCTCCATCAAGAATCCTGTGTTGTGGTCATTAAAGGGACTAATCACCCTCTGAATCAAGAGGGAGGGGGGGCTGAATTAGAAATGCAGTATTTAGAGGCATGAAGATCACTTCACCTTCAGTGTTGTAGTCATTAACTTTTGAATGACCAGCTGCATTATCTAATATCAACAAAACTTTGAAGGGAAGCCTTCTTTTGAAAGATATTTATGTACCTCAAGTATAAAATACTGATGAAACCACTCCAGGAAAATAAATTTAGTTGTCCATGCCTTCCGTACATCTACTGGCAACAGTGCTTTATTCTTTCTCCTCAAAGCTGTTGTGATTAGCAGCTTTATAAATATGAGGCTGCCTTGGTTTTACATCCACTTGCATTTGCACACAGCTGCTTTGTCACCCTATCTTTTCCCATCTTATATGATATCATGATATCTCTTCTCATGTGATATAAGTCCTTTCAGTTATTTTATTCCAAAACAGTGCAGTTTCATGAACTTTGAACAATTATTCTGCAGAATTTCCGGAAATTCTTGTGCTGTTTCTTTGTTGGTAGATACTGACTCATTTCATCAAACTAACATTTACTGGCCTGAAAGTTCATAGAATTCATGCTTGTTCCTTCACTATTTTGTTGCTTAAAAGACATGTGTTAGGACTTGTTTTTTTTTTGTTTTTTTTTTCCATATTATAACAAAGTCTATTTGGATATCTTTCATATGACAGTACTAGACCCATAACAAAGTAGCCATTTCAGCCCAAAACAAAATCAGATCACGCAAATAATACAATTTCTTTGCACCTGGCATTTTTGCAGCAGAAATGGCCTCATAGATCTGCTCTTCTTTCTTTTGAATATAGTATACACTTGACACATTGATGCCATAATGGTAAAAAGAGTACTGAACTGTTACATGATATCTGTCCTCCTATATGGCAATGAATGCTGGACAATCTTCTCAAAGATGAAGAAGAAACTTGAAACAATAGAAATGTGGTTCTACAGAAGGATGCTGAGAATACCATGGACAGAGTATGTGAGCAATGATGAAGTGTTAGTGAAAATGGGGAAAAAAAAGGAAACTTATACTTATCAGGAAGAGACAGTTGAGGTTTCTAGGACACAATGATGAAAGAGGGCTTGGAAAATCTGATACTAACAGGACAGATTGAGGGAAAGAGGAAAACAATGCATGACATAGTGATCTTGATTAAATGGAGTGGCAAACAAGATTTAGGAGAAATAACAAAAAAAAACAACAAAATTTATTAATTGTAGAGAGCCATGATCACCTATATCCTGATGGGTCATGAAAGATAAAGAAAATGATATTCTACAAAGCATATCCCACAACATTTTCTTTAAGAGTCATAACTTGTTTTGGCTTCTTGGAACCCATCATTAATGCTTATTTTATTACTTTTTTTTCTGCACAAAAGTTGTTCTTTCAAAATCATGAATAAAAAAAAATCAAAGTCCTGCTTGTTATTTTTTAAGACTATCAAAGTATTTTTTATATGTGATGATTAAGAATATTCTAGTGAAAATGTTTCCATAGTGAAGTTCATGTGATGTATAAAAATTATATAAAAAAAAAATGTTAGAATTGTATAAAAATTGATAGAAAAATTATTGATAATAAAGAAGATAATATTAAAATTGTATGAAAAACTAATTAAGAAATTTAGAAAGTTACTAACATTTTTTTTTTAAAGAAATTGCTAAAAATGAAACCAGACTGTTTATTAAAAAAAAAAATGAATACAGATTTGCAAAAGGATGGCTCTCTATGGGATTAATATACAGTAATTAGTCTACCTATGGCATAGTTTGAATTTGATGTTCTTAATTTAATTTCCTAATTTGAATTGTTTTGTATTTATTTATAAATAAACTTTCTTCCTTGCAACCCTTTGCTGGATTAATATATAA